TCTTGTCGTGGCCGCTGGCGACGGCGCAATTTCCCACCTGTGCCAGGATTTCCATTGGCGGCGCCCACAGCTTCTCTCGTCGCCAACACAGCCCACGCTATATACCGCTTCCTGGTGGACGCCACCTCCTGGCCCGCCTCGCCTAGCCAGCAGGGGCAACGTAGGGAGGGGATAGGCTCAGATGGGGTTGCATCGACCCCCAAGTGTCCACTCATCGCCGATAGAGCCTCAATAGCCCGCCCCGCCCAGGAACGTGTGAATCCGCTACCCGTTTCGTCGGCACGTGCTCTGGCCTGCCGCAGATTGAGAGCCGCCGCACCGTGGCGCCAGAACGCGGTCATCTCGATGTAGATGGAGCGACTGCCGCGCGCTCTGCCATTTCCCCCTCCCGTGGCGCCCGTGCTGCCGCTGGAGGGACCGAGCTGAACAAGCGGGAGCCTCGCCGGTGGTTGTCGCCAGCGGCGGCAGTGGCCTTCCTCCTCCCTCTTCCCCCCTCTCCCCAGGCCATCCGTTTTTCTGATTTGCCGGCCCGCCCTGTCGCTGGAGCAGCAGGGAGGGAAATCCTGCGGGCGCCTGGACGCTCACCAGAAGGTGTGCTTAGGAAACAGAGAGGAAGAGGCGGAGGAGGAGGAACAGAAGGAATCGAAGGGGACAAGCATGGAGAGGATAGACAAAGGGAGGGATGGAGGAGGAGGAGGAGGAGGAGGAGAATGGACAGGAGGTGGCAGGGGGAAAAGGAAAAGGAGGAACAGGAGGACAGGATGAGGAGGAAGCGGACGGGGAGGAGGGTACACGGGAGGAGGAAGAAGAAGGGGGGGCGGATGACAAGCATGATGACAAGCAGCAGAAGTAGACGGTAGGGCCGGGCGGGGGCTACTTGGCAGGGGAAGGCGACGATTGTTGAATCAATGCTTGAGTCATTCGCGAAGTGGCGGCCCCCCTCCCCCCCCCCCCTGGTGGCGAAACACGTTTCCCCTACCATCCGGCGAAGCCCTGCAGCAAAGAGGGGGAGAAGAGGAGGCCGAGGGGGGCGGGGGTGGGACACGCAGCGGCCCCACGCGCCGCCGCTCCAGGAGCGGACTCGGGAGACACCTGCACCTAATTGCACTCGCTTTGGCAGCTCAGTCTGGGGGCCCCGGCCGGGCCACGAGGCGCGCCCGCGGGGCCGCGCGCCACGCGGCCTCGCCGCACCGCTGGCAGCAGCATGCCAGCGCGCGGCGGCAGTGCTTGCGCCCAGCCCGTGCGCGGCCTGCTCGCGAGATGCTGCTATCGCGAGGCATGTGTAGAAGGAGTCCCCCTTCTCGCTCTCCTTCCTCGCCCTCCTCCTCGTGCTCCCCTTCTCGCCCTCCCCCTCGTCCTTTCTCTCCTCGTCCTTCCCCTCCTTGCCCTCATGCTCGCTCTCCATACTCGCCCTTCTCCTCGTGCCCCCCTCCAAAGGAATCCGAGGGACTGCCTCAGGAATCGTAGGATCATCCCTTCTTCGTACTCCCTGAGGACTCCTCCTCCTCCTCCTCCTCCTCCTCCTCCTTCTCTTCCTCCTGATCCTCCTCCTCCTCCTCCTGCTCCTCCTCCTCCTCTTTTTTACGTTGGACCAACCTGAGCAAGAAGCTGTGGCGTGTGTCCTCCTCATCCTCGCGGGGTTAATTTCTGACAGTTGTTCGTTTGTGGGTTGTTGTTGCGTGGTTGCTTTTCTTGGTGGTTTTCTCCATCCTGTGTAATCTGCACGACAGAGGAATGTCATTAAGTTTTTTGTACATGGGTTACAAGATAGTTCGCTGCATCTCCAATCGAGTTGGCGCGTGGTCTTTGTCGCCGTCGTCGTCGCGATCATCGTCTGGTCGGTGTGTGCCGCGCTCAATGGTTTGCCCACTTCTGTTCGCATGTAGGTCGTTTTTGGGTGTTTATTTCTCCCAGCGGATGTTGTTTTCTGGTCAACATTGCACGACCGAGGAATATACAGCTTGTTTGCAACACGACAAAAAGATAAGTAGTCCTGCATGTTTAATCGATTCGGTGCCGTGTCCTCGCCGTCGTTGTCGTGATCGTCCTCGTCGTTGGCTTCATACGGGGAGGGACCCTAGGAATCCATAGGAATCCTACGGGAGTCCGTGAATATTGGGGATGATCGGTGTAGGAGTGCGGAATCCCTAGGATCCTCATGGAATCCTATCTTGCAGAATTTTACAAATCCTGAGGAGCCCGTAGAAACCCCAAGGGAGTGCTAAGGATCCTGGGGAGCCCGTAGGAACCCGAAGGAATCATACGAACCCTTGGGAAGCCATAGGAATCATAAGGTAGCTCTAGAACTCCTAGGGACCCCTAGGAACCCCAGCTGTGGCCGCCGCGGGAGAGAAATTCCTTTCCCTGTGCAGTTTTGGGTTCCATTCCGCCAGTAAGCCCGCGCCAACGAATAATCAGTTTCCAGTATGAGAAGGAATTGTATTTAACAGGTTTCGAGGTTACCCGCATCCGCCTTCTGTGTCCCCATCTTCCACCAGCGTCTCACCCTCCCTCTCATCCGTTCCGCCTTCCTCCAGATCCATGCTGGCTGATCGGACAATCTCGAGGAGTGCGTGTATGGAGGATGCGGCGCGGGATCCGACGGCATGCCACGCGCTCAGTTCAATGCAGCAAGTCTACCTGCACACCAATCGCTCGACTCGCCTACTACCTCCACCTCCTCTCCGTCGCGCCCCGCCGTGAAGAGTTCAAATGCTGCCGCTTCGCGTTCCCCTCCCTAAAGGCCAGTTGCGGCAAGTGGGGGAGGATTCCCCAGAGACGCTCGGCTCATCCCCCCTCTTTAGGACCGACCACAGCACGCACTGTTCCTTCCCAGCCACTGCTGGCCGTTGCAGCCGGCGTAACTGACACGACTCGGAAAGTGTTCACGGGTGGAAGGAGTTTGATGGATATCGGATAGTTTGTTTGTTCCGATGGCCATTTGCAAGAATGTGCAGACGCGTTCGGGAAGTCGCGCGGAGAAGGTTGCCCGTTCGATTTCAAGCAAGCATGTTGATCATTCTCCGTTGGTGGGAAATCAAGATCACTGAGAAGATGGGCCCAACATAGTATCTCCACGGGCATTGAAGAAGTCTGCGCAAACGCGCTCCCCATCATTGGGCCTCCTGGGCCCCAAGCGCTTCGGTTCTGAGACACAAGGGGCACGAAGCAGGGATGTCCCCGATCGGGCACAGTATTCGCGTTGGCCCTGGACTCCGTGATCCGCGACATCAAGTCCTCACTATGCCGTCTCGAAATTTGAATTGCGGCAATATCAGACAGAATGACACTACCTCGCGCAAGCATGCTCGCTACATTCCTTCGGCTTCTTCGCCAAATCGTGATTGCTGACCTTTGGCACCAGATTGGCAAGGTTGTAGCATGGTCTTGGTGCCTCAGCCTGTAAAATTGCAGAGGTTATGCATAATGTCCCGAGGCTTCTCGTGCAGTCGAACGCACTCAATTTTGGCGTTGTTGGGCACGACGCCGCTGAGTTGGCTCGGCGCGCTCGTGGGCCCAAGCTCCCCACTTGATCGCGCGGAGTACAGAGAAATGGACGGGGTTCGGCGCAGAGCAAAGCATCACATAATGTATACGCGCCCCCTGCGCTCAGCCATGCTGCCCACCGAGTTTGTCCTAAATTCAGGAGCTCGCGTGTCATCCGGAATCACCCCGCGCACCCCATGACTCTGTAAACCCTTGGTGTTTTTCTGACCATGGACATTCTCGCATGGTAAACATGTGGTGTGCCTTAGTACTGGATACCAAGCTGCTCTCAAGAGGGACGATCATCCGAGACCAGCTTTTCAGCAGATGAAGGGCTGGTTAGAATCACAGCTGGATTCCGGCGGTGCCGTTATCGTGGAAAGGCTAGTTCGTTTTTATTTTCATCATCCGATATCCTACAACATGCAGAAGCGTTTCTAGCCGCCCCTCGCAGGCCCCAACAGGCCCACACGATAGTCATCAAGCACAAAGTGCCCGTTGTACGTGCATTAGGATGTACTCGAGCTCGTGTTTTATATTGGTTGCCGCCGGTCGTTCAACGTCAACTAGACTTGGTCCACATATGGTGTTCCCTCGTCACTGACGTATTTCCTGCACTATTGCGAAGCAGCTGGGGTCATAACTACATCCAATGCGTGGCCACTAGTAGCAGATTCCGGCAGCTCATAGGACGCTGCCACTTCTGCTGTCAGAGTCTTGCTCGATCAGGACAATATCGGTATTGTTTGTCCCCCCCTCGCGCCTTCTTGCTGGCCCACTTTCCCTGTTTCCCTTCTCCACGGGCAGCAACCATAGTGCCATCATCTTGCCGTGGTGTTGGGACGTCTCGCCGCGATAATAGATGGTCGCGCATGCAGTCGAGGTTGACGTCTTTTATTCTGCCTGGAACGCCGCCCTTGCGCGCAGGGCTCGAGATGCCCGCGCAAGGCGATTGGTCTGGCTCGCGGACGTCTTCGCACCATTGCACGCTGAATTGCGGCGGTGCAGAGCCTGATGCGGGCAGGCGAGGGAGACAGTTGACCTGGTCGATGTGTGGGTACCCGCCCAAAACGGTCACCGAAGGGTTCCTGGTGACACTTTTTTGGGGAGAGTCTAGTTTTCGGGGCGAGCGGCACCTTACAGCTCCGTATCGCCGTTTTGGACGGCACGCATGCGCGCCCGCCACATGGTTCACGTGAGCCGGCCCATGCCCTTTTTCACAACATTGCGCGCCGAAGTGCAGAGGTGCAGTGCTTCACGCTGGCAGGCTGAGAAGATAGTTGACCTGCGGATCTTTCCTTATGCCGCCACCCCCCTCAGCGGCGTGGCGGCGTGGCGTTCCTCTTCTTCCTGCTTCTCCTTCTCCCCATCTTCCTCCTACTCCTTACGCTGGTCCGTGGGCGGCTTCTCGTTGTTACCTCACAGGCAGGCCTCCCTTTACCTGCTCATACATGCCTTCCAGCCGGCCTACTGTCCTCCCCCGCCACCTCTTCCTCCCATGCCGACGGTGCGAGGACGGGCGCGTGTACGCCGGGCCATTCGCTGGCGACCAGATGGTCAACGGGGGCGTCCCGCAGAGCGCCCAGCCTTCCAAGGGCGCGCTGAACATAGGGGCCGAGGCCCCAGCAGATGGCGACGACGTCGACGCCGACGGCGACGACATTGGGCATTGTCGCTCTCGCCGTCGTGCTCTCGTCTTTCTCCCCTCCTCCTTCTCGTCTGTTGTTCGCCCGGGAACAGCAAGAAGAGAGGATAGTTGGAGGAGGGAGTGGAAGACAAAGGGGAGGCGGAGGAGGACAATGATGGAGGAGGGGAGAGGGCGAAAGGTACGAAAATGATGAGGGGATGAAGAGAGGGAGTAGGAGGAGAAGGAGGAGGGGAACGAGAGGAGAATGACCAGCAGGAGAAGCAGAGAAGAGAGGGAGGACGGGGAAACATAATGGGAGCGCAGGGCGAGGCGGAGGAGGAGCAGCCTTAGGAAGCATCCTCCCCATTGTCCTCAAAGTTGCAACTCTCCCCCCTCTCCCTCCTCCTGTTTCCCTGTTTTCTTCGCAAGACGGAGAGACGGGGGAAAGGGGGAGGATGAGGAAAAGAAAGGGGGGCAGCAGAAGGGGCAGGATAAAGAGGGCGATTATGATGAGGAGGAGAGGAGGGGGAGGAGGAGGCGGAGGAGGAGGAGGAGGAGGAACGGCAATGAGGAGAGAAGGTGACGGGGAGGAGGGGAAGGCGGAACATGGGCAAGGAGGGGGAAGAGGGATGAGGAGCAGGAACAGGACCGGGCGCTGGCAACACGCAGTGCGCCCTGGAGCACGTCGCCACGCATGTCAGGCGCTCTTGCACGACCCGCGGGCGGCTTCCAGGCTCGTCCCTCGGCGGCGAGCCCTTTTTGGAACGCGCGGTCAAGTTCAGCGTGGCCGACATCGACCAGCTGGCGCAGGGCTGTGCGCCGACGGCTACGGTGGCGCGGTTCGTCGATGGCCGGGTGGCGAGCGCCTGGCAGTTTTGATCGGTTTCCACATTGGTTGTGAGCATTGTGTTTCGACAGTGTTGTAGAAGGGGGAGAAGAAAGAGAAGGAGGAGGAGGGGGAACGTGGGGGACGTGGAGGACTAGGGAGGAGGAGGGCGAAGATGACTTGTGTACACCCAAGACTCATCAACGGTGGTTGGGTAAACCTTCCTCGCAGGCTCCCTCTTCATGGGCCCCTACAAGGACTCATCTCTATTGAGGGCAAGGTCCCGTTAGCGATACAGCCGTTTGAAGATCCGGAAGCGCGCCAAAAGACCATGTTTGGAGATTTCAACGCCACGAATCAACTTGACAGTTGCGTCTTGACGGCGCAGAACCGCGCCAGAAACACCATTCTGTGGAGTTCAACCCCGACAATCCTGAACCGCCCCTTAGAGCAGTTTCTCATACGTTCACCATCGAACAGTGAAAAGCATGCAATTGTTGACGACGAATGCGCACGGCGCTGATGGCGAGAGCCACATTTTAGGAAGGAGCCGCCCTCATTCCGTGAAGCTCTTGCAATTTGTCAGAATGAATGCGCGCGGCGTTGTGGCGAGAGACACAGTTTGGAAGCGTGCCGCCCTCAACCCGTGAAGTTCCTGCAAAGTATTAAGACAACAGCGCGGCGCGTAGGCGATAACCACATTTGAAGACGGCCCGACCTCAATGTGCGAATTTGTTTTTCTTAAGAAAAAGTTCTAGTCGCATGACGAATGTGCGCGACACTGGTGCGACATCCACATGTTGAAAACGACCCGCCTTTGATCCGTGAAACGCCTGCATCTGTCGAAACGAATGCCCGCGGTGCTGGGCCGATCGCCAAATTTTGAAAACAACCGCCATCAATCCGCGAAACGCTTGCAAAATATTTGGACGAGCGTGCCCCGCGCGAGGGCGAGACCCATATGTTGAAAACCGGCCGCCCTGAATCCGTGAAGTTCTTACAATTTGTTCAAGCGAGTGTCAACGGCGCTGAGGTGGGAGCCAAATTTGGAAAATGACATGTTGTCAATACATGATAGGCTTGTTTTTGTCAGACGAAGGTGCGCGGTGGTAAGGCGTGAGCAACATCTGGAAAACCATCCGCCTTCGATGTGCGATAATGCTGTTAACTGATCATGCTTCAGGATCATGAATGATAAGGACGTTTCAGGCGAAACGCCCGGCCGGCCTTTCCGAGTGGTTTCGGGGTGCGGCTTGGAATTATTAATAGTTTCGTTCATTCCGGTGGCTCGTACTGTGCCATCGTTTTCGTGTGCGTGCGCGTTCGCAGTTTATGCGGCGTTGCTGGTCGGCGCTGCTACGATTATAGGTGAGAGTCCTCATAGATGTTTCTTGGTGTCTCTTTGCTGGGTTTTCGGGGGGGCTTTTGTGAGGTGGTTTTAGGGGGTTGTGGGGGCCTCCTGGGGGTTCGGGGCAGCCTGGACGCCTCCTGGGGCCGAGGGTTCAAATTGTTCTTGGAGTTTCTGAGGCTTCTTGCGGCCTTATGGGCGCGTCTCGGGAGCTTCGGGGGCTCCTCGGAGGCCAGGGGGGAGGTTTTGGGGGCGGTCTGGAGGCCGAAGGCCTATTGAAAGCTCTTCGGAGGCCTGGGGGCGGGCGCTTCGGGGGCGACTTTGAGGCCGAACGCTCGACATGTCCGTTAGGCTCCCCCTTCTCGAAGGGGGTTTCCTGAAGGCATCTTGGAGTTATCCAGCGCCGTTTTGGGACAAACGCGGGCCGTCATGGAGTCCCCGTGAGCCGTTTTCGGGTCCTGTTGGAGGCTTAATAGACCGTCCTGGAACGATATTAAGGGCTTCTTGGGCTGTCTTAGAGCGTCGGTGGTCGAAAAGGTGAGAACGTTGAAAACCTTCAAAAACCGATGGGAATCGTCTTGGAGGATCTTGGGCGCATTTTTGGTGCGTCCTGGAGGCGGTTGAAGCCGTCTAGAGACTATCTTGGGCATCGTGGAACGACTTCCCGTGATTCTGGGCCCTCTTGGAGCGCCTTGGGGGCCTTTTGAGACGCTCTTGAAGGCCTTAAAGGTAACTCCCAGGAGTTCCGGCATCCGTGGCGGGGGCGGCCCAGGGACCACACCGGACCTGCCCGGGGACCGCCCGGGATTTGCTTGGGGTACTTGTCGTCCAACGACCCCCAGGGGCAGCCACGCGCGCGCGAACTAGAAGTGTTCTGAAGCTGTCCCCAGAGATTTTACCACGCCTTTATTCCTGCTGGGCCTGCGAGCTTATAGGAAAAAGGAGTGGAGAAGAGGAGTGGAGGTGCCTGCCGCCGCGATCCAAGCGCTCCCACGGCCTGCACAAGGAAAAAGCCAGCGGGAGCTGGGGGAGGATGAAGGAGGAGGAGGAGGAGGAGGAGGAGAAGGAGAAGGAGGAGGAGTAAGAGGAACGGGCGGATGGGGAGAGGGAGTGTGCGAGGACGATGGGGATGAGGAGGGGCATGGGGAGGAGGGCAGGAAGAGGGGGAATAAGGAAGAGGGAGGAGGACGAGAACGAACGGAGGCGGAGGCGGAGAGGGGGAAGAGTGAAGATAAGGAGTAAGAAGAGAAGAAGGAGGAGGAGGAGGAGGAGGAGGTGGAGGTGGAGGAACAGGAAAAACGTCCGCTGGGCGCTTACAGGAAAGCCGACAAGCGAAAAGAGCACCAAGAGGAAAACTAAACGTATTGGCGATTAGGAGGACGGAAAGGCGGAGGATCGAGATGAGGCCAAGCGAGAAGAGGGTGGGCGAGGAAAGACATCAGGGGGCCAGGAGGGGGGGGGGAGTCAGGAGGGGACGGGGGCGAGGGAAAGAGAGGCGGATGGGCCAGGCAGAGCGGACAGAGCAACCACGGGCGAGCGGAACGGAAAGGGGACGGGGGCGAGGCGGCGCCACCCGGCGGGAAGAAAAGAAGCCAGGGAGATACGCGTCGTCGTTTCGGGAAACGCCAACGAGGGCCAACGCGCGTCGATTACCGACGGGTCCCGTTTCAATGCCACAATGCCGCGCTGCGTCGCCAAATAGGGCGGCACAGGCTTCTTGTTTCGGGGGCTTCCTTTCACGATCCACGGATCTGGTGCCCACGCGCCCGATCCGCGGATCCGCAATCCGTGTTAGCGTGTGCCCGGATCGTGGGCGTCCTCGTCCCCAGCGCCGCCGTCGGGAGGACAACCCGGTGCGGCGCTGCATAGACGTGTCCGACCTCGCGCCGTTTTGCTTGCCAGCCGACGTCGGCGAGCTGGACTTGAGCGTGGGGTCAGGCTACGACGAGGCCGACGAGGTGCTCCGAGAGGCCAGCCATGTGTCGTCGCCGTCGGCACAGGGGATTTGAATTCGAGGAGTCGTCAATATACGAGGCAGACCACGAACGACGTGGGACAGATTCTGCAATTTGACACACACACACACACACCGTCCTCCCCCCCTTCCCTACCGCCCCCCCCCCTTTTTGCAAGGCGGCGCCGGGCCTTCGGCATCACAGGGCGCAGCGGCGTCTGATTCCCGCTCGCGTTTCCTCGCTCGTCCCCCCCTCCCTCAGTCAGTCGTCCCTCCCCTCGCTCCCGTCGCCTTGCCTCTCGTCCTTGCCCGTCGTGCGTCCCCCTCTCCCTTCGCGCGTCCTCCCCCGTATGCTTTTTCCGATGCCTGGCCAGTGATGCACCAGCACAAGAGATCATGCATGCGTAATTCATGTAGTTGTTGTACTCTGCGGGGGGGGGACTTGCCGTGCATTGTAATGATAAGAGGCGGAGAAGGAGAGAAGGGGGAGGATGAGGAAGAGGGTGGAAAGAGGGGGGTAAGAGCAGGAGGACCAGGACCAGGAGCAGAGACAGCGGGGATGAGGAGGACGGGCAGGAAGAAGAGGAGGAGAAGGGGGAGGAGAAGGAGGAGGAAGTGGGGAGAGAGGACAAGACATCCTATCCCTCCCTCCCATGCCTTCCCAATGCGCTGATGTTCTCTTTGTCCGCGGAGGCGTGTCATAGCCGACCTGAAACTCCAACAGACAGACCACATCGTGTTATGCGCAATCGGACAAAGGGAGCTGCGTGCATAGTGTGATTCCAGAAGGCTCGGGAGTCTCCTCACGTGCTCTCTGCCGCCGCCCGTTTTGGCTCTAATAATTTTGGGGCCCTTGGCTGACTGAGCTACGATCCGCTCTGCGAGCGTTTCAAAACGATTGATCCGCGATCTTTCCATATCACAGTGGTAGCTTGGAGCGGGACTCAGCTGCCGGCGCTGCGCGCCTCCATATTGTTAGCCACGACGACGCCGTCGTGCACCATCACGGAATCGACGCCCAGCGGCGTCCTGCGAGCCCTCATAGGCCTGAGCATAGCGCTCTTTTCCGCCAGCGTCAGCGAAGCCAGCACCAACGCCAGCGTCAGCGACGCCAGCACCAACGCCTACTACGCCTACATCCCTGCCAACTCCAACGCCAGCGTCAGCGACGCCAGCAACTACGCCTTCGACTCCTACTCCTTCAAGAACGCCAGAGTCAGCGACGCCAGCAACTACGCCTTCGACTCCTACTCGTTCAAGAACGCCAGCGTCAGCGACGCCAGCTACTCCATCTCCTTCCCGACCCTCAGCAGCGACGACAGCTACTTCTCCTACGCCTGTGTCAGCGACGCGGCCTACTTCTCCTACGACGGTGTCAGCGACGCCAGCTACTTCTCCTACGACGGTGTCAGCGACGCCAGCTACTCCCTCTACGCCAGTGTCAGCGACGCGGCCTACTTCATCTTCGACAAGATGGGGGATAGCTTCAACTATGCCAACAACGTCATCCCTACTTGGAATGGCGACCCAGCCGAATGGAGAGATTACAAGCAGGAGGTCAAACTTTGGAAGCTCAGCGAGAACCTCGCCGTGTCCCACAGTCTCGCGTCGAAGCTCGTGCTAAGGCTCAGCGGGACGGCACGGAGCGCAGCGCTCAGCAGGACGGAGGAACAGCTGCACCCGGCAGCCGCAGCGGACATCGAGGACGCCGACGATAAGAAGCGCAACAGGAATCAGGTCGGCATCGAGAACGTCTTGCAGCACTTGGAGGCCAGCTTAGGTCAGCAGAAGCCAGTGCAGAAGGGCGAGACGCTTGAGAAGTTTTTCGAGTCGACGCAGCATCACCGACGCAGAGGTGAACGCATGACGGATTGGCTCATCCGCTTCGAGACGGGACTACAGCAGCTACGCGAAAATGAGGTGGATCTCAACGCGCTGGACGACGTTGCAGGATGGTTCCTGCTGCGGAAGGCCGGGCTCACAGCGGAACGCCGTGAGCGCGTTGTGGGCAAACTACCCGACGAGCACTACGGCTACCAGCGCATCCGCGGACTGCTGGTCAGGATGTTCCCGGACATCCACACGTCGGAGCGCGACGCCCTGCCGCCAAGACCGCGGAACAACCAGTCGCGCCCACAAGGCGGCCGGCGCAACGCATCCTCCAGCCGTGGAGGGCGCTCTACCAACGTCGTCGACGAGCCAGACGACGAGAACGACGAAGATCAAGAGGAGGATGACGAGGACGAGGCCGACGTGCAGGACATTGTCCGTCAGGAGCTCGAAGCCTTCAGCGCCAAGCTCGAGTCATCCAACGTGGACATCTCCGAGCTGTTCGATGGTGACGACTCCGCCAAGGTCGAAGCTGCCGCGGCGGAGCTTGCCGCCATTCCCGAGGCCATGGCCGCCATTAGATCGGCTCGGGAGGCCCTGAAGGGCCGCGGCAAGTCGAACATGTCCGCGCCGACCCGCCGACCGACCAAGCTGCAGAGCCGGGTCGACCAGCGCCAGAAGAATTCGACGTGCTGGGACTGCGGCGAGGTCGGGCATTGGACGGGGGACAGCCAATGCCCCACGCCGGGCGCGCGCAAGTTCGCGCCCAAGGACGGCGAGCCCAAGGGCGGTGGACGCGGAGGCCGTGGAGGTCGTCCGCAGCGCCAGGCGCACATCCCCGAGCGCGACGACCACGTGGTCCAGTTCGCGGACGAGGAGCTCACCCTGCACCCGCAGGGCCCCGCGACGCCGCCCCCGGAGGCCTGCGTCTCGGAGCGGCTCATTCACCACCTGCCGAACGTGAACGTCGCGATCGGCAGCGATAAGCCCCAGGACGAAGGCATCGGCGTGGTCGACACCGCCTGCCTTTTCTGCGTCTCGGGCAAGAAGTGGTACGACAACTACAAGGGCATCCTCACGAGGATGGGCCTCGCCGACCAGATTCTCGAGGAGCCAGAGGACGAGGTCTACAGGTTCGGCAACGGAGGCGCCCTGCCCAGCAAGCTGCGCGTCACCGCGCCGCTTGTGCTGTGCGGCCAGGCCGGCCGCATCGTGTTCAGCGTCGTGGACAGCCCCACGCTCGGCCTGCTCATAGGCCGGGACTTCATCCAGCCTTCCAAGATCGACATCTCGCTCTGGAAGGGCCAGATCCGCATCGGAAACGCCACCCAGAAGCTCACCACGAGCGCCGCGGGCCACCCCGCGATCAAGCTGCAGCCAGAGGACTGGCGCGCCATCCGGGATGCCGGAAGGGAGCACAAGTCCGGTGTGAAACGACAGCTGGACAAGACCATGTACATCGAGGTCGAGAAGTCGATCGATCGCCGCGAGAGGAAGACGAGGACGGGCGACCCGCCGACGGTCAACAGCACTACCCGTCCTAGCGCGCTGATCGACACCATCAACAACCTCGTTACAAAGAAGGAGCTGAACGTCCCGAGGCGGCTCCAGTCTCGACGACTGAGGGGATCACGGCTGCTTTCGGCCGTCGCCTCAGCCTTGGTTTGCTGTTCTACCGCAGCACCAGCTCCTAGCCTCACGCTTGCCATGCTGCCGGAGGCTACCTACCCCACGACGTGCGCTACCGAGCCCCTTCAGGACTGCACCGCCTGCGGCGAGACGACCTTCGAGGCCTGCAGTCATCAGGGTTTCTGCTCGGACTGCGTCTTCGGCACGCCCGTGACCCTGAGTTACGACCAGGACGTCATCATCAGCGACTGTCACGGACCCGAGGCCAACATCGTGGAGGAGGAGCAGTTACGCGTGAGGACGCTCAAGAAGGGGACGAAGCCGCAGCTGATCGCGGGCAAACGGTCAGCCTTCGTCACCAGCAAGAGCGGCATCCAGCCGCACAGGATCGGCCAGGCTCTAACAGCCGACCTGGCCAAGTCCACGACCCGATCCAGCCCGACGCCCACACCAACCAGCACCGCGCTCTACGAGTGGCGCTGCAACTCGGACAGCAAGCTCAGCGCAACCTGGAGGAAGAAGGGAGGAGCTGCTGTCAGGTGTGGCCTTCCAGGTCTCGACCTCCCCAAGCAGTTCGTGGCCCAGAAGCTGGAGGGCCGGATCAGGAAGAACATTGCCTCAGGCAAGAGCGCACGAGTTCACGCGGCATTTCCCTGCCAGCCGTGGACTTCACTACAGCGACTCGTCGTCAAGATCGACCCGAGCAAGCTGCCCAAGCTGAAGAAGGATCGGGCGAAGTCGCAGCAGATTATCGGCCTGTTCCTGCAGTCGATGTCTCGGATGCGCAAGGAGTTCGGCGCTCAGCTCGCCGTCTCATTCGAGTGGCCGAGGTACTGCGACGGATGGGGCCCCACCAAGAACGCGACCGCCAAGAAGCTGAAGGAGCAGCATCCGCGCATCGTGGACTTCGATGGCTGCGCGTTCGACCTCAAGACGAAGAAGGGGATCCACATCAAGAAGCCGTGGCGGATCATCACCGACCACTTCGGGTTTGACGACTCGCTCAGGCGCTTCTGCAGCGGGGGGCATCCCCACGCGGAAGCCCGCGGTAAGGACGCCAAGCGCAGCGAGAACTACACGGACAAGCTCGCGAAGGTGCTCGCCGAGCAGCTGCGACGTCAGAACCGGCGACCTGCTCAAAAAGCTCACCCTACATCGACGACGAGAAGGGCAAGCAGAAGGACGGTTCCAGCCGCTGCAGCCGCGCAGGAGCCAGCGCTCACGGCCGCAGAGGAGCGGACACTTCGGTCCGCAGTCATGCAGCTCCACGTCAACACTGGGCACCCGTCCAACGATTCGCTTGCAAGAGCTATCCGCGTGACAGGCGGATCGCAGAGGTCCATCGAGATGGCCCTCAACCTCTTCTGCGAGGTTTGTGCAGCACACCAGCGACCACTACCTCACCTGCCAGGAAGGATCAGACTGGACAGGGACTTCAACGACTCCATCGGCGTGAACCTTTTCACCCTGGCCGACTACGCGGGCAACCAGCTGATTTTTCTGAATGTGGTCGACCTGGCCTTAGGTTTTACGATGTGCGGCACAGTCGCATCAAGG